AACAATTTTCGACAAAAATTAAGTTTCTTATTGTAAAGGCACAAAAAATATACCAATCAGCAGTTTTTGCGAAGTCATCTGGTATGTTTTATTTCATGATATAGAACAAATATGCTGCCTATGTTATATGAAAAGCAGTATTAAAAAAATACTAAAGCTCTACTCTCTAAATAGGGTTTAAAAACTTTCATCTCTTCCAGTTTCATCAAAACTAAATCACATTACGTACCTATTTCGGTTATACCCTGTACACAGGGGGGGTAATGGTAGTAATCACCCCCAAGAATTGTTTAACCTAACTTTATATATTATATAGGTACTAAAAATGTATTATTCATTAAATATTAAGTCCTAAATATTACTGCTAGCCCCTTCACACTTAAACTATATTATCGCTACCCCCTAGACTTAAACTCTGGATGCGCCACTGCTATACACTGTACATTGTTTTAAAAATCGGAAAAGAAAGAATGAAAGCAACTGTTAAAAATATGCACGCAAGTTTAATATATGTATATTTCAGTGAATCTGCACATGCGAGTAAACAGAGGCAAGACATATAATAACGTGCCTCATATATAATTAAGCAGGTGTTTGTGAAGTGAAGAGGGTTGACATTTTGGGCGGTATTGGAACTCACTACTTGGCATTTTCATTTTCTTCGCAGATTTTTATTTCAGTAATTGTTATTTTGTAATAAAAGAAGCCACCGACAAAGCTAAAGATTAGAACTACATTTGAATTAATTTATTCTTAGTCCTAAATAAAGTCATAAGAAAACCCGTAGAATTATTAATTATAGTTATATTGCAGTACATATCACATCGAAGTATCGATTCTGTAACGTGAAAGGTGAAACAGTAAAGCACATGTACCAAAGCAACCCTGAAAAAAAAATAAATCCAAATGTTAAACATAAGATTACCAACTTTTAACAAATCTCACCAAATACAACTATTAATTTCTATAGACAAGAGTGTTATCTTATGGGCTATGACGCTAAACATAAACATGAGCTATAATTATAGATCAAAAAATGGATGGGTTTTATTCATTAAAACCTAACCTAAATTTTAATATCGGAGACTGCACAGATTTCAAATTATACAGAGCTGAAATATGAGAATGCCATAACTAGGGAGGCTTTTCAACTATGTGCCTCTCAAAACTGTTAAACATACAAGTCAGATATGTAAAGAAGGTAAACCTGTTTAGACACACAGAATTATAGTCTACTAGTAATTTAACGATGGCAACAGCTCTAAAAGTTGCTATAGTACCAACACATAAACACTCACTCAGTTTAGGTTACTGTATGACAGTAAAAGTTATTGGAAATTTCATTCAGTTTATATTGGTTTTGAAGCTTCAATAGAATAATATTATAGATTGGATAGAGTAAAATAAGGGCAAAGACAACAAACATTGTCATATACAGATATATCAAAATGGTACTAAAGTACTAAGTAGATTATGCACATTCTCTTAGGTACAGCACTAAGACCACCAGTACTAAAAAACATGGTTATTCCTTTTGTCACAGAAGCCAAATACCTTGAAGTCATATTCGACCAAAGGCTGACTTGAAATCAGCATCTCAAAAAACTCGCATACAAAGCTACATTAGCTCTCGCATGCTGTAGAAGAATATGCGGAAAAAAACTATGGTCTAAGCCTCAAAATTACTATATAGTTTTACACAAGGTTGATAAGAACCATGATAACCTATTGCGTAGTGGCGTGGCTAACCAAAACAGTACAGGCAAGTGCAATAGGCCAACTTACCGGCATTCTGCGGCTTGTCTGCCTAAGTGCCACTGGGACCATGCGTACTACGCTAACTGTAGCAAACCAGGCCCATTATACACCGGCTAATGCAGAGACAAAACCCAATAAGCCAACTACATAGCGCCGACTACATAACGATATATTAGCAAGTAAAAATGGATAATATTGTAGAAATGCCTACTGATATAGCCAAAACCACATACAAATTTAAAAGAAACTTTTAAATCTAAATACTGGGCCGTAAAATCCTGGAAATAGTAACCTCCCGTACAGGCTGAACTCGTCTGGTACATAGTCGGTTCAAAAACCAAGGAAGGAGCCGGTGCTGGAATCTATAAACCCAAGTCGAAAACAACGATTTCGCCAAGTATAGGAGAATATGCAACAGTGTTCTAGGTGGAAGTAAAAGCCATACAACATTGTGCAAGAGATATATTAAATCGGCAGGTATCAAAGACTATTGCCGTTTTCTCTGATATCTAAGCAGCTCTACAGGCAATTATTTCACCACAAATCAAATCACGACTGGTAAAAGACTGCCTAAAAGACCTGGCAGAGCTAAATAGTCAAAACATGGTGACCATAGCCTGGGTTCCAGGCCACGTAGGATATCAGGACAACGAGAAAGCCGACGAATTACCCCGATAAGGCTCAGATAATGCCATGACAGACCCCATTGTGCAAAGCATCCATTAAACAATACATCTAAAAAGAGTCTCAGAAATGGTGGAACAACTATCTAAGACTGAGACAGGCCAAACAGTTTACGAAAGACCTACTCGATCAAAAACGTCAAATTGTTAGAATAACAGTAGGTCTTCTTACTAGTCACTGTCACCTAAGAAGGTACATGAGTGTCTTCAATTCAGCAAAAGCAACTTTGTACACGTTTTGTGAAGAAGACGAGGAGACATCAATCCACGTCCTGTGCCAGTGTGAAGGCTGGCTTGAATGAGGTTTCTAGCATTGATGATTGACGAATTCTTATTCGTAAATTCTAAAGTCCTAATCTATAATTTCTTTTAAAACTTATAAGAATTGGAATAATGATGATTGTTGTTATTATAGCATTTAGGAGCCAAATATCAACAATACCACAAAATTACGTAGGTACGTGAAAAAAGTGTGTTTAAAGAAAGGAACATCCCAAATTTGACAAAAAACTGCAGTTTGGAAATTATTTCATGAGAATATTGCTCTTCATTGCTAAGACTCAAAATAAATAATTGTACATTTCAAGAAGTTCATGCGTTATATGAGAAATAAGTTGGGCACTATGAGGTTCAAGTTTGGAAACATCCTACATATATGACCCTTAATAAATAATGTATGTTTTAAATATTGAATAGTATTTGTAAGCAATACCGAAAGTGATTTTTTAAATGTTTTTACACTTAATAAACATCTTCTCTTAGAATAAAATATTTTTGTTCAGTTATAACTCAAGCAATATATGTTTTAACACGTTTAATATCTTCAAGATTAACCGTTTTCAGTCAGATGAAAGAAAGAAAAACAAAAAACTGTTGTATCTTTATTGTTAATTACATCGCGGATTTTTTTCAATGTCACTATACATATTATAACAGTAGTTTATGTAACAATAGTGGACACGATTGCCGATATAGTACAACAACACAACGCTGTAGGCGGAGTGCTCAAACGTCTGAGTGCGACACGGACAGTCGACTAATTGTACAGCATATTTTCTCTGGAACCAACTAATAAAATCTACAAATTTATAAAAATTTATTTTGAGTCCGCACGATAAGTCAAAAACGAAAAACGATATCAATTTGAAAGTTTCAGAAAAATCAAGCTCTATTGATTTCAAAAAATTTAATTAAACGTGGGAGTTAAGGAGGGAGGGATGAAATAAAAAAATCATAAATCAAAAACAAAAAGCGATATGATTATTTTTTTATTAAAATTCAAGATCTATAAAAAGAAAATTAAGCCAAAAACAAAAAACGATATTAAATTAAAATCTTTAGGAGAAACCAAGCTTTATAAGAAAATGAAGCCTACTGATTCTGAAAGGAATCTGACCAAATTGGGGGTTAAGGGGGTATGTTAAAATGTGAAGAGTATAATATACAATGCCAAGCATTATATATCTTCTTTCTAGTTATTAAAATTTGTTTATACAGACGAATATCATCTGGATTGCTATTACTAAACGACCAGTCAGTTTAATTAAAAAAAATTAATTGGACCATAGGATTGTTATTAATTTGAAAGTTTACCTGAATTTTAGTAAATATGAACTGTGACGATTTCATATCCTTACTAAAACGAATATGAAATTATATCCTTTCGGCTTACTGATATGGCCATTTTGTAGTTTGTGCATAAAGTAGATAATGAATATTATGTGAGTTTAAAAAAATATTTCTTATTTTAAATTTAAATTTAAATAATCAATTCTGTGAAAGAATAATTGAAAATATTAGAATCATTTTATTTTCATTTTATTAAATAAACTCAAAACTGTTAAAATCAATGACAATCTTTTTTTCTACACCCACATTGATATTAGCTTATCCACGCAAAAACTACAAAATGAAAAATTATGTCACTGCATTTAATTAAATCGCTTGTTGTTATAAGGAACTAAGTCACATTTTTACGTTTTTCATTTTAATACATGAAACGAAACTTTAAAGATATTCCTTTCGTTTGGTGTAAGATGGAACCATCCAACTATATTGCTTGTGTACTATTTTAGCAGTAGTTATCGGTATTTATTGCTAAAAGAAACTAAGTCACGGACTTAATTCCTCTTGCAAATAAAATGTCTCGCGCAGGGCAACATGGTAAAACCGAAACCTGTAAAAATAACCTCAAATTTTAATAATAGCTTGTGTCACAACGTTCAATAGGTTGTTTACTTAATTATTTATTTTTTAGACTTGTTTAATAGTCAACAAAAATAATATTATTAATATTAAGCAGCTAGTAGTGTTAGTTATTGCCTACTATGGATGAGAATGAACTTATTTAATAAGAACCACCTTTAAAGCGTCGTAAAAGAATAAGAAACGATGCCACGTATAACAGAAATGTAATAAAAAGATCAAAGGTAAAAGGACTAGAACACAATAATCATAAAGGTGCTTTTGTAAATTTTAAAAGCATTGGACAACTATGCAGGTAAGTTCATAAAAAAATTATCAAGAGTTAGATGCTATAGCTTAAATAAATTATTTAAGGTGTCCTATGAAGTGTTTTAACAAGCTTAGTAGCGATGAAAAAATTTTAATTTTAAATAAATTGTGCCAACTTGAAACAAAAGATGAGCAGGATATATACCTGCAAGGTTTTATTGAGAGAAGATCAGTTGCCCGAAAACGTGCAAGAAATCCCGGTGGAAACAGCAAATCGAACACCTATTTTCATTTTGTACCACTTAATCATCAGAGAGTAAAAGTTTGTCTAGCTGCATTTTTAAACTTACATGCAGCAAGAGTGAAACGCGTTAAGAGACTTAAACTATTATTAGAATCGAACACGACCCCTTGTGATAATAGAGGCAAATCTGTAAAATCAAACTGTTTGCAGAATTTGAAATTCGACGTATTCGTGAACACATAGCATCATTTCCTTTTGAGGAGACCCATTATTCAAACGGAGGCTACTATTACTTAGATTCGAGGCTAAATGGGAAAATAATGTACCAATTATTTTTGGAAAGACATCCAGATTCTAAAGTAAAATACTCTTATTACATAAAATACTTCAATGAGCATTTTACATTACACTTCAGCCGCCCTCATCACCTGCGAATCATTAAATTTAAAGATACAGAGCACCTCATTAGGTGATGCTGCTAAAAAAGCAGCTGAGGGCAGAACGTACATTTGCCGGAAGTACCTGTTCAAGACCTGTTTTATGCAGTACAACTCAATGTTAATATTTTTTTGCATACATAACCTTGGTACTGGTAAATCATTTTATTATATTTATCATGAATGTCAGGCAAATAAAGGCCTTGATGAGGTGTGCTCCTTTCTATCAATAATGTCGTAAACCCAAAACCAAAAGAATTACGATTATTCTGTGACAACTGTTCAGGGCAGAACAAGAACCATCCTCTTGTAGATACCAAGAGGTTTAACAAAATTCTACAGTACTACTAACTACGAGGACATTCGTTTCTTTCTTGTGACCGATATTTTGGAGTCATAAAGCGCAAATTACGGATGTTTGATAGAATTTTTTCTCTTCATGAGTACACAGAAATAATAACATAAGCCAGTATAAGACGAAATTTCACAGTGAAAGAAGTCAGCACGGAAGAGATTTTAAATTTTAAAGAATGGTGGTCAACTTATTATAAAAAACAATTTGTTCTATGGAATCCAAATCTGCTAAGAAGACCAATAAAGTTGATTTTACAATTATTTTGATCGTGATTCAAAGACACCGTGAATAACTTTATGGTGAACACGTTTGTTTTGAATAATCCGAAAAAGAACCCAAATAATATTATTAAAATGTCTACAACAAAAGCCTATCCCGAAGATCGATTTCCGATTTTACCTTCAAAAATAAAGTGCATGCAAAATTTAGTGACCTTTGTGTTAGATGAGTATCAATATTTTTATTATAATATAATAAACACATAGCCAACTAAACCTGTATATGTATAAATAATAACTGTGATTCTGTTACACTTCTATCGACAAAAATAAACCACTTTTGTTATATAAAAAAAATCCCCGTTCGTTGTTAAAAGGATATAACTCCGATTACTTCTTTAGCAAATTAAAAAAAAATAAAGTCATTTGATTTTCTTCTGTTTTTTATTTTATCCAACTTTCTGTGCATAATGGAAGATATACATAAGCATAGCATTTGCATTTTAAACAAACTTTCCTTTTAAAATGGTTTTTGTTAATTATCTTAAAACTCCTATAAGTGACTTAGATCCTTTTAACAATAAGCGATTCAATTGAAGGAATATATTTCATATCCATTGTAGGTAATGAGTTCTGCAAAATAATGAAATCCACCGATCACAGTTTATATTTTGGACACCCAACTTCTATTATTTTTAAAATTTTAAATAGGTGACAACCCTGTTAAAATAATTGTCAGTATATTTTTTAGAAATTAATATTAAATATACATTTAAATAAGTTATTTTTATGTAGAATAGATAAATAATAGCAGTTTTATTACTTGGTCCATATTTTGAAAAAAAAAAAAAAAAAAAATTAAATTTTAATTAAATAATATGAATCTATTTTAATTACTAGTATTAAAATCAAAATCTTAAATGTGGCCATGGACGCGAGGACAGAGCGTTTGCCTTCCACCGGAAAGTCCGGGATCACATCTCGGCGGGAACTAGTAAACTAACTAAAAATCAGTAAAATTTATAAATTATTTAAACATTATTATTTTTTCTTAATAACCTGAAATATTTTTTAAATTTGTAGATTTTCGTTAGTGGGTCGTACAAAAAATATACTGTACAACTCGAGTGGATTGTCCTTATCGCACTTAGTGTGATATGGCGATCATATCCATTCTTGTTGCATAAACTACTATTAGTAAACTCTTACATTTTACTTTTATGATTTAAAGTTATGTTGTCAAATCATCTGATACGAAAACATCTCGGAACTAGAATAATTTATAATGAGTTTGTATAAACCTTCATATCTTTAGATTATTTGATATAGCTTAATGCCTGTGGATCAATGATTTTTATTATTTAATATTAAAGATATCCCTACCTGAAAAATATCATCCAGGCGAATTATTTTATCTTGTAGGAACAAATCTGATTCATGAATATTATCAGTGATCTTAAATGTGATCATTTTCACAACGACAGATTTTGATTTTGAATTTTACTCTCTCTTCTTCTTTATCAATTTAAATTTTTAAAGGCTCAGCTGCCAGGGCTATTCGGCGTGGGGTATTTGTTTTGGAGTTTTTTATGCAAAAGGTGAATATTTTAAAGAAACTTTTTTTGTCACAGGATGCACATCACATTGTAATTATTGATTTTGCGTCATCTTCATTTGGCTGGCTTTTATCTTATAACGCAATAGATACCCATATTTAAAATATTGGTTTAAATATGTTTCACATTAGCCAACGGAAAGGTTTAAAATATCAAAAGTAAAACGGAAATATGGCCATGTAATATTTTTTGATAGCTTGTCGAAGAATTAGAATTTCTTACAATACAGAGAGCGTGATATTTGACTTTTGTAGTCAACCCGAATTTAAAAAAAATTAAGTTATGCATGATATTTTTGAAATCAAATCATTTCCTTTACATATATCTATTTTTTTAAATAAATCGTCTGTTAAAAATATATATATGTATTATAAACGGACGCAAATAAAATATGAGTTGTAAAAATGTATTATTCTTGTGAGGAATGTTAAAACTTTAGTTTTTGCAGCAACATCCACATCCAAGATATGTTTGAACATGTTTTCTAAATAAAAGAATTAAAATTCTTAAATTTTGTATTTTTTTTAACTAAGAAAGTTAAGTCAAAGTCGTCATTTTATCTAAAACAATAATTATATGACATTACAAATATCAGTAAATATGTATATTCTGTAAGTTTCTTTCATTAATGTATAAAACACATTTTTTATATGCCTAGGTATAAACTCGAAAAACTCATTGAAATTTTTCATACATTATGAAAATATAGTTCTATAACTTATTTTGAAAGTCTTTAATTTCCCATTGCTTGCAAGGTTTTTCCATTTTATTAAATGTTCTTTAAAAAAATAAAGATATACTAAAACGTCAAATTCAAAATCACGTGCATTTCTGATCATGCGCAGTTTGCCTAACCTCAATAATTTGTTAAACAAAACTTACCCTGTTCAAAATCTACAGAATAATTGACAACTAATTGAAGAAAGTCATTTTACAAATTATTCAAAAAGTTTTCGAAATGTCACGCAAAACCACACATATCACTAGGTCATCAACATACACACAGTCATAAAAGAGTCATCAACATCACTCACAACAAAAATAACAAGGTCAAGGACAAAGTGACCATGTGCCCAACCCCCATAAGATGTTCCAAAAAGTCCATTCATGAATTTTTCAATGGGTTTGTATTTTGCCGCGTGTTGTTGCGAAGAACTCGGTTCTTACACTGATCATACATACATGAAGGTAAGAAAATGGGCAGGTGGGGGCTCACCACATAGGCATACCCAGGTAGATGAGGACGTCGTCTGGTCGGTCTCTCAAGAGATCGAGATGACGATGCGATGGTCAGACTCCTAGTGGACCGCTGATGAGGATTTCCACACGCATCGGCGTTCACGCATTGTCGGTTAAAATATGTCCTACGTAGACGTGTTGTTCATATTTTCTCATTGAAAGTTTTTTATTACGATTTATGGTTTGCAATAATTACTGATTTTGTTTCCTTAGGTCTTATACTGTTTTATATTATTACAGTTATACTGTTTAATAATTAGAAATATTATTTAGTCACTAGACATAAAAGTACGGCAAAATTTTATTACCTAATAAAAAAAAAATGTCTTGATTATAACAAGAAAAAACTAAAAACATAAATATGACGTAGTCTAGCCTAATTTTCATTCAATTTCTAATAATTGGCATTATTATTAATAAAATATAAAGAATTTCACAAAAATTCTAAAAAGTATTTTTTTTATGTTTTATTTGAATATTCAAAAAGAAAACAATTGGGTTATAGTCCAATCATTATAGTAAGTTCACCTCGGAATTCGAGATACCCAGCTGTAAGTCTGTAAATACTTGTATATTGACACCCTAAAAGTTGTCTCAAAACCTACATATAGTAGGGTGTACGAATCTATTAAATTTCAAGGTCAAAGGTCACAAAAATCGGTTTTTTGCGCTTTTTTTTGTAAATATCTCATTTCCTATGGGTTTTTTGCTATTTGTATTTATTATCAATATTGTAGAATACAAAATTCTCTAAAAATTTTGTTTAAAAAAATTTTTCATACGGTGAACCGTTTTCGAGATAGATGACGGAGAGTGCGCGGTCACAGCATCACTTCAGGTCAACCGGTGCCTCCGGTCGAAAACGCGCCATATATAGTTGATGAAATATCGATAAATCAATGATTATAAATATTTGTCAATTTTTATTAACTATTATATTATATTTTATCATTTTTTTTCCTAACCTATCCACTTTTTATTTAGTATTAATTTATTTAACAACACTTACCTGCCCATGTAATTGCAAAATTGTTAATGAAAATATAGGAATTATATTTGAATTTTAACCTAATTAATATTAAGAAATTCTTACATGATGAAAAAAAAACAAATAAATTATGAATTAATCTTTTTATTAAAAAATTTCATTCAATACATTTATTTTTATTAAAAGTAAAAAAATGGAATAAAAGGTACAAAAACTACAATTTATAATTTTAATAATCTTCTTCCTCTTCATCGTCGTCTTCCGGCTGCTGGTAAATTTCAAACTGGTCTTCATTATCGTCTTCAACGACATTTCTCTCAAGTTCTTCCATGATTTCGGGGTCAAAGGTTCCATCTTCGTTAATGTCGCTCTGATATGGTAGAGCATTGA